CGCTGTAGGCTGAACGCACGCGAGCGTGCCTGCAATGCGGTCTGACTTCAGCTCCATAGTTTATCTGCAACGATTTAGACGACGCTTGGTAGCCATCTTGTGGATCCTGCTTTGATACGTGAAATGCCCAAGCCGCACTGGTTAAAGGAAAGAAAAATGGCGATGGTTCTGGGAAAATCAAAGAAGAGTGAGATAACCTAATCGAAATAGAAGTGGCGGGGAGTTGGAACGTAACTTAATGGTATTAGGAAGGACACTGAGACTAGAGCGTACCTCCATGTTTCTTATGGGTAATATATCATGACAAGCCGAGAGCTAAAGGGAAGACAGACATCGTTCGCCACTTTTTTGGGCGGCTACCCCCTCATACTTTATGGTATGGATAGTAAAACCTTAATGATGAGCGTTGTACTCCCAATCCCTCACTTTCAAGCGTACAAGTGTAGCCATTCTGGCTTGTTAGGACTATTGAAGAAAAGTAGAAGCGGAGCCTTAATTTGGCCCTCGCAGAAAATAACTGGTAATTGAGACGTAACTAGTACAGCTTTATTTCTGTTTCTAGTATATTAAAGGCATGTGGGACCTCTAGTCCTTCTCTCAATTTGCTTTGGTGGAAGACGGGCGCGCAGATCCCTCAAATAGGCTAATTTGTGCGCGACGAATGTAAGCCAATAATTCTTTCATCAAGAACTAAAAATGGCTATTTATACTACCAACACGACAGCGAGTGTAATTAATAACAATAATTATAATAATTACGATAATATAACAATTACTCTAATCAAATGCCTTCCTTTCCAGATGCGTCGTGCCAGTGTACCGCTGGTAACTGTCTGTCGATGGGTGAGAAGACGAGCCCAAGCTCCACCTCCTGCGGGCCATAGTGGTAGAATACTGGATGAAGGAGCGACATTTTCCGATGTGCATTCCGTGATCCTGGATCCCACGTCAAAATTACCGTATCCAGAGAAGGTAGAGTTCATTCTTATTTTTCTGTCACATCCTATTATATGTGGAATTTCCAGTTGCTGAAAGAGCACGTAGAGAAAACTTCAAAAGAATTGCTAAAGGAGAGAAACAAGGCCAGGTGATTACTTTTTGGAAGTTTTTTCAGTTTACTTCATCACTATTTATTTTTTCTGATTTTTCTGAAGTGATCCATTGTTCTGAATATGTAATCTTTTCATCAGGTACGGAAAAAAGAAAATGCCGAATGTGAT